ATATGTATTATTTGTGTGAGTCTATGAGTATGTATGTATTTGTGTGAATCTATGAGAATATATGTATTTGTGTGAATCTATGAGTATGTGTGTATTTGTGTGAGTGTATGTGAGTGTGTACACCAGAGGTCAGCCTGGATGGAGTGTCATTCCTCAGGAACTGCCACTTTGTTTTTTTCAGGACAGTATTTCACCAGCTTGCAGTTTTGGGGAGTAAGCTTAGTTGCTTGACCCAGGGATCCCCATCAGTATGCCACTATTGCTTGTTTAATGGGTTGTGGGGATTGAACTTGGGTTCTCATGTTGTTTAGAATCTCTATGATTATTTTCTTCCTCTTACTGCATGATGACTTTAACCCCAGGGAGGAAAGAATAGCATCTCCTGTCTGTGGTGGTACCCAATTGAGGGACAAGTTGCAGACGGTGGTATCCTAGATGCCAGCTGACTGACACTGAGTGGTTACCAAGATAGAAGATGGTAGCACAGGAGGCAGAGGTAGATGCAGAGTTTAGCTGGGTTAACAGGAGCTCACCATGCCCGGCACAGGGCAGGCAGAGCTTAGGGCCATTCTTCAAGAACTCAGAAAGCTTTTTATTAGTATTGTTATTATTGAGAGGTGCTGGGAACCTGCCCCAGTGGTTGACAGGTTCCAGAGAGGAGGCAAGGAGTGATCCAGGCTATAGTGGTGGTGAGAGTCTTGCAGCCTGACTGACTAGCAACCAGAGTGCTTCTTTATTTGTACAGAATTCAGTATGCAGGGGTAGATTCATGATGTTCTAAAACACAGATCATATCATTTTTGTTTCCGGACATGTGTTTGACTTTTTTCTTGCACACCTGGGGTCATAAGTTTAGTCATCATTGATAAACTGTGACAGAATGGCGTTATCTTTCACAATCACTTTTTCCTCAAGTTTAGTCATCATTGATAAACAGAGTTATCCTTCAGAATCAATTTTACTCATCAACCCCATAACTCGATTTTTAAGTATCAGGAGGTATAGGACAGCCCATCCTCAGGCTGCCAGGTTTTGCAGCTTCAAGGATGTTAGGCAGAAAGAAAATCTCCAAGCCAGCCCAGAGACATTGCCATGTCTTGAGCAATATATTATTAACTCTTGATGGTCAGAGTGCCCAAGAAAATCTTCAGACCAAAGATGATGCAATTATTACTCAATTTCTGACATAATACAATGTTTATATTTTATATATTTGTAGAGTTTGTTTCTATGTCTAATCCTGCCATTCTTTTGTTCTTTGGTCATATGACACCATAGTGGTTCAGCATGAGTTCACTTTTCTAAGAAAGGGAGGTCCTGACACCTCATTCTTTTAACATCTTTCCACACCATTCTTTGCTTATGTGTATGGCAGAGGTAACTCCAGCTAATCTAACTTGTTGCTGTATGTGGCACATACTTGCCTGAGTGTAATTAGGAAGAGGCAATCTGATCTATGGCCAACTCCTCTCTAGTCCATCTAATCTTGTTGACCTTTGTAAATTTATTTTGTTTTAATATTCTTGTTCCTGAGTAAGTGTAGGGGCAGATGGTTTAAGAATATCTCATAGCCTCATAAAGAGACCTTTGACTTCTTTATGTGTGTCACAACCTCCAAGACATAAAGAAGACCTTCACGTAGATAAGGGTATCTTCCTAAGAGTGGGAGGGGTAGTATGCTCAGGACTTTTCTGGGGAAGCGTAGAAGCAGAACCCTGGGAGAAAGCATAAATGATTCATAAGAAATTTCACATCAATCCAATAACCCCAAGTTGTGCAAATATTATAATTTCCCCGAGTATGCAAAACCAAAAAGTGACATGGCAGCCATCATGTGGCTCAGCTTTTCTGGATCTTTGTCAAGCAGCTGTGCTGGCTTTATGACTTTGCCAATCCTATCAGCTATGGCTGCACAAGAGAGGGAATTCTTGTAACCCAGACTGGCATCAAACTTCCTATGTAGTTAAAGATGACTTTGAACTCCTGGTCCGCCTGACTATACTTCCAAAGGGCTGTGGTTACTAGCACGCACCAATCATGCCTGTTTTATGAAGTGTTGGGAATGGAGTCCAGGTCTTCATGTGCACTAGGGACATACTCTAACAATGGAACCAAATCTCCATCCTCTAATGTCTGTCTGTCATTTTTCTGTGACTTCAGATTCTGTCACTAGCAGTCAGAGCCACTTCTTCCTGGTACAACAGTACCAATGCGGACCTAATTCAATTCGTTTGCATGAATTCCTCACTTTTGCTCTTAATTACTATAATATTCAATAATGAAGTATGTAGCCCAAAGTACTATTCTAAGTTTTATTTGATTACCGCACTAAGCCTAGTGTATGGAAACACCTGCTTCTTTCAATAGTTTGTTGATTAAACGCCTTGCCTGTGAATGGTGGCCCAGGGCTCTACTCTGAATGACTGGGGAATGATGCACTGAGAGAGGTAGCCTTCCC